TATCGACTTCTCAAGATTCGAACCTTTATAAAATTCTCCAAACGGCCTGCCGTCATTCCATAGATGAAAGTATGGCAAACATTATTTCTAAGCATAAATTGATGCCAGAAAAAACTAGTTTATCCTAAGATCGGGTTTGGCCAGTAACACATACATATGTACATAACTACATATCGTCGCCTGGGTAAAAGATTGTCGTATGTTAACTTCGGCAGGTTGTGGGAAATCGCGATTGAAGTTTGGAATGCAATTTCTCAAAAACGCGAAGATAGATTTTATCCAAAGCCTCTGAAAATGTTACTAGTTCACAAAGTTCTTAAATTATTTTATTTTTAATGTTGATTGTTAATTAGTTTTGAGTTTATGAAGGATTTTCTTTAGTAAAATTTTGTCGCAAGCGTCGTTTGTCCACAATTTGGTAGCCACTTTGTAGGAAATACGACAAAATGTGATCAAAATTTCTACCAAATTAACGACACTTTTTACTCAATATCTCGAAAACTAAAGGAGATATTCAAAAATGGAGAACGCCGTTTTTAAGATATTGATTAGTTTAATATGACTGCATCACCAACTGAATTTTTACTAAATTATCGAAAAAGTTTTAGTCAATATTTCGGAAACTAAAGGAGCTATCTAAAAACTGATAAAACCAATCGAAAGACCTTATTTCAAGATATATAACTGCATCTAGAACTAAAAATCGTCAAAATGGCGCTTACGACAATCTTTTACCCAGGCGACGATATGCATACATTCGTATATGTACATATGTATGTATGGGCAAGTACCACTTCAGTATTTATGAGGTGATTTAAACGCTGTTTAAATGCTATGCAAGTATGTATGGACAAGCAAGTCGAGTGAGCATTCAAATGAACGATGATAAAAGAAGCGAAAAAAAATCGTTTTAACGCCAATGCAGACGAAAATTCCCATTTCGCAGTCGCAAATTGCAAATTACAGCGATTATAGTTGCCACTGGAAAACACACAGCTGATATATCACCAGCATATCTTCAAGGCACTATCTCCGAAGTATCAGTTTTTTTTCTTTCTGAAACTCACAAATGAACACGAGAATAAATGTGTGTGAATATTAAAGTTAAACTCGTATATCTTAATTATTTTAATTTGCGAATGTACTGCATTACAATTTGGTAAATTTACTATACATACATATGTACTATTTTCTCAGACTATTTTCACACATATTTACATACATATGTACATATATGTATGAATATGTACGATTTTAAGAGCATTGCACATAATAACAAAATATATAGAAGCGTGAAAATATGTACATATGTACTTATGTACATATGCACACATACATATATATTCATGCATTCACTAAATGACAGGCGGCGACTTCTTTTTTAACTTCGTTACGCATGCGCAATGGCAACGCTCAACGGGCAATTTAATTGCAGAGCATAAAAAAACAAATTTTAATTTGTCCATAAGCAACTACATATCTTCATTTACATATCTTTGTAAGTATACGTGTAAGTATGTATGCACATTCAATTGCACGAGTTCAGTATGTTTAGTTCTGTACCTACATACATCGTTTAGTACATTCATTGCTTGCATAAATGTCCACGCATATATGAATGTTTGTATATGTACGTATGTACTAGGGTGATTGAATCGGTTTTTTCCAAACCAGTTTAAGCCGGTTTTTTATATTTTTTTTTGCGCGATGTTCTTGAAATCGTAGTTTTTCGAATACCGAATATTAAATAAACCGGAGTTTTATCGTCGAATAAACCGGGTTTTTCATTCGAGTATTCATACACCTACAGTAAATTTTACCCTAATTCATTACATTTTGTTGAAGCCATAAACCTAACTTTTTTACCAATCTGGCTCTTAAATACAATTAAGTTCCCTTCGAAGATTATTTTTTGATATACATACGTATGTTTTTCAAAATGCAGCAAATCCATGTGTAACATTTATGTAACTATCTCTCACATGACAGCCATATCTAATTGTAATAGTTTTATGCCATTCTTGGCTTTCAATTGTAACTGTAAGCGTTCCCCGAACCCGCCTTATCATGAGTCTCATTTTCCCCGAACCGGTTCACTTTAAATTTTTTGTTTCCGTGTATTTACTATGGGCGGATAAACAATTTGCGGGTGAAATTCAGGATAAGCCTGATTATTGCCTTTTTTCGAATAACTCGAAAACCGGTTTTGGAAAAAGTCGAATAATCGAACACCCTAATATGAACATAAATTGAATGAGTCAACCGCCTCGCTCATGACGTTTTCGTATTTTTTACGCCACTTGCCACATTCTTTAACAGAGGCAAACGATTTAGGAGCTGAAAATTACTATCGTGGGTATCTTTTTCTCGTAAATTATCGTACTTACATACATACTTGCATACAAATACACAATAACTGAAATGACTGTGTGCAAATATGCAATTATTGTGTACACTTTAATAGTTGGTAAAGCTTAATAATATTTTCTTAAGCGGCCTGATGCGCATATATATGCACATACATATGTACATACATACATAATTGCTCATAAACCTCCATACAAAGATTATCAGCTGGCACAGAAGTCGGCGGTTGTGCTATTTTTAGAAATAATAAAAATTCATAATAATTATGAAACACTTTTTTAGAAAATATCTCATACTAGATCGCCCTCACCCGCCGCTTCGCTGAGTAAATGAAATTTCTTCGTGCTATATTAGATGTTATTTATTTCAATAAAACTCAACAAACTGAAACTATGCCAAAAATAGAAGATTTACAATCTGTATTCGAAATATTTTCAAACTGAAACTTTCTTAAACCTCTCTCTTGTGATATTTTTTCCCGTTTTGGTTTTGGCTTCGGGCCTTTACATCTGTAATTTCTTTAAAACCTAGCCAGACGTCCTCCATTTACGTAATAGTTTTAGTGCATTTGAAAGGCGCCACGCCCACTTTTAAAATAAGTAGCTCCAATTTTTTCTAAGAGTATGGGATTGATTTCATATATCTAGATATGCAGTATGAAAAATTCGGTTTGTATGGGAGGTGCCACGCCCGCTGCACCCAGCGGTATGAAATATACTTTACATCCGATTCGCATACCTACTATATATATACAAAAAAGTTCATAAGATCGGTCGAGCCGTTTCATATATTAGATGTATGTATGTATGCATATCAGCCTTTATTATTTATAGTTTTAATTGATTTATGAGTCCTGCTCTCGTTGAAGTGGAAGTGAATTAATTATTTGCGATCCCAAGATGTGAAAATACTCGTCGTATATAAAATTTCTTTACTTAATATACATATGTATGTACATAAATATGTGCCATAAATTTAATTTTATGAAGTACGCAGACTAAAATGGTCTTGACTTCTAACACCATTCACCTATTCAAAATTCGTGCTACGTACATACATACATACGTAATGCAAAATCGCGTATGTGGAGTTGCATAAATTATTTTCTAAAGAGTAAAAACACTCGAACGCTTGACCCAAGAGCCTGTGCGAGCAAATTCAATTTTTGGCAAAAAAATCTCAGTTACGCGGTTCTGTACCTTAAACGACAATATGTATAGGTATGTATAGGGGCGATTCCAGCAAAAGGTCTATCGCGCAAATAAAATTAAAAGTCCTATTTCTAACTAATTTGTAGGCTGATTTGGCTGCAATTTATAATTATATACTGGTTATGTAAGCAGAAACATTTGTTTTGCAAAAATGGTCTCGTTAGGTGGCGCCAGGGTTCTTTGTTCCAGATTTAGTTGAAACCTAATAAGACATAGATTTGCAAAAAATGGAGCCGTATTAGGTTAGGTGGCAATCAATTTTGATATCCTCTTTTATGAGTTAAAAAAGAAAGAGCGCTGTCACATTCTGTCTCTCTTGCTTATCTGGCTTGGATCACTCAGTAATTTTAAACGTTGATAAACTCAATAAAGCAGCAGGGAGCGCTTATTGAGCAATTATTTTATTTATGCTCTAAATTTTAATGGGCCGCTTGCTTGATTGTTTCTCATGGATTTTTCTAGATTCGCTCTTTTTTCTATTGTCAGTTTCTGAATTTAAAGTTTGGCGTAAAAAGCTTTCAGCTTATGTTGTTTCAAGTTTTGTGTTTTAAAAATGTGAGTCATAAATATTTTTCGCATCCCTCTAAAAATCGAAGCGATGAATATAAAAGTGATGTTTACAATAGAGGAGTATTCCAGGAGTGAGCCAAACATCTGAGAAATTTGTGTATATGGAAGAGAATGTAAGTAACGCCAGCACACTGAGTATTTGAAATGCTCTAAATGGGATGAGGGAGGGTGTGGTTATTGTCCGATTTTTTAAATGTTCAACCGTTTGCTATGTTGTACCAAATTCAACCACTTTGAGTTTGGTGGAAATTGATAGAGCGGTTACCGAAATATACACATGTAATCATAAGTGGGCGGTGCTACGCCCATTTTACAAAAATTTATAACAGCACAAAGTTATAATAAATAATCTTGTGCACAAGTGCGGTCGGATATAAAAAAAAAGCATATTAACTTATTGAGTAAATAGGCTCATTCTACGACCGATATCAGCCGATTGATTGATTGCCTCTACCACCCAGCATTGACAAAAGAAATAAAGCCCTCGGACTTTAATTCCATTTTAAATGCTTCCACATACAATTACTAAATATGTATGTATATTCAAATGCCTAATTAAAATTAAATTGATGATTAAGTTCAACTAAAGACCGCCGCATCTGCGCGCCACCACGCTCGCACCTTTTTCCCCGCTTTTGCGGTAACGCCTCTAGCCAGGTCAGGATTCCGCTTCATTTCATTTACCAGGTCTTCGATTTGATTTCGAAGTGATAACAATAATTTGGGTTCAACTTGCTGTCACATTATTAATTAAACATTTTATTTTAATTTTTGTTCGCATAATTAATCATGTCGAGGTATTTAAATTACCGGGTTGACAATATTTGATTCTAATGACGCTGTTGATGGCGTTCTAGTAGGAAGTGGCCGAAGTATGGCCGATCGTGTAGTCATATGGACATAAATAAAGGCTAGACACATAAACGATCGGTCCCATTTGACCGGTGTTGATCGCTGCTAGCGCTGTGGAAGAACAATTGAGTTCCTGCTAAAGTGTCTGTGTTTGAAAATAGTTTAGTGAATAAATTTTGCGAGCATGTGGTTCGTCCTGATATCTGTGGCTATCGTGGCCATTACTCTGTTGATTCGCAGACACTTTACCTACTGGGAGCGTCAAGGTATACCGAGCGACAAGCCGGTTATACCCTTCGGGTCGTTAAAGGACACCGTTTTCGGTATAAAGGATGTCGGTTCCGCGATTCACGATCTTCACGAACGCTACAAAAAACCTTTCGTTGGAATTTATCTGCTATTCAAACCAACCCTGCTGATAACCGACCTCGAGCTGGCACGACAAGTTCTAATTCAAAATTTCGTGAGCTTTCACGATCGCGGCATTGATTCAACTGTAAGCCCAGATCTTTTCTCGATGCGCGGTGCAAGTTGGAAGAATCTGCGTAGCAAATTGACACCACTTTTCTCGAGCGGCAAGCTAAAGGCTATGCTGCCGACAATCAACGATGTTGCAGCCAAGCTACTAAATCACTTAGATGAACAGTTGGTTTTTAAGAGTGTAGTGGAGGTCGAGATGAAGGACATGATGTTCACGTAAGTTAGACTGCGACTCCGAGCCTTGGTAGCTACATTTACATACATTACTGGGAACTTTCAGCTATTCGCTCGATGTCATTGGTTCAGTATTCTTCGGAATGGACGTTGACAGCTTCAAAAATCCAAAAAACGAATACCGAACAGTGATTGGAGAAGTGCTTTCGCCTTCAGCTTGGCTGGACAGGATAAAATCGGTGTCGTTTTTCGTTTGCCCGCCGTAAGTTGCTAGTGAGAAGTTAAATCTCAAGTAATCGTGTTACTAAGTTATGCTTTCTTATTATTGTATGCAGTCTATCGACATTCATGGAATATTGCGGCTATACACCCAACGGAGTCCTGGAAATACGCGAAATTATCAAACGCGTGGTGAATTTACGCGAGCATAAAAATGTTGTGCGTCGTGACTTTATTCAGCTACTTTTACAATTGCGCAATTCAAATAAGATTACAGATGATGACAATTGGAGTTTGGAGAAGGCATCGGAAGATGCCAAGTCCATGTCCATCGAAATGATCGGCGACCAGTGCTCACTTTTTTCCATTGCGGGTACTGAGACCACGGCCGTTACGGCGGCCCATACACTCTACGAGCTTTCTATGTACCCAGAGCTTTTAACAGAAGCTGTGGCAGAAGTTGACTCTGTCTTAAGCAGACATGGCCTAGAACCAAGTGACCCACTCACTTATGAGGCCATACAGGACATGAAGTTCTTAGAACTCTGCACTATGGGTGAGTATGGATTTTAAGGAGTGATAGATAGATATGTACATAGATGTATACGCCAAAGTGACATGACTTCGACAGATTAGTTTGTCGGACGACTCCTAATATGTGCTTGTACATGCTATTCTTCCAGAGTCTCTACGTAAATATCCAGGCCTGCCGTTTGTGAATCGCGAATGTACACAGGACTTCGAAATTCCCAACAGTGGTTATACGATCAAAAAAGGCACGGCCATTATGATTTCACTTCTTGGAATGCACCACGATCCAGAGCATTTCCCGAATCCACAAAAATATGATCCGTATCGTTTCACCGAAGAAAGTGAAACTGGCTACAATACCAATGCATATATGCCTTTCGGCGAAGGACCCCATAACTGCATTGGTGAGCTTTGAAGCAAAAATTTGATGCGAATGGGTGAATGAATAGCAAATCGATTTTTTCCATTTTTGAATCTTTTAGCCAAGCGCATGGGCCAGCTCAGCGCAAAAATCGCCATTGTCAAAGTGCTCGCAAATTTCAATGTACAGCCGAACGAACTCAAGCGGGTCGAATTCGATTCTAGCAATAATGGTGTTACACCTGTCGTTAAGGGTGGAGTGCGACTAAAATTATCAAAGAGGATCCTATAGACACTAAGTAAATTCTATACATATTTTAGAGCTAAAATCAGTGTAAGAGAAAAGAAGGTAGCAAAGATTAATTGAATAAATATTTTTGTATCATACAGCGCCATATTATTAGGGAAAAACCTGAGTAAGTGTAGTCCAACTTGGTATTAAATAGTAAACATTTCGGTCGAAAAATAATTTAATGCAATTCTATTGAAGACGCAAAGTTCATGAAAATAGCTCCGGCTGTAGAATTTCACACATGTGGGGAAATTTTTTGATAGCGATTCACCTGCCCAAACGATTATTTTGCGTCCGATTCAAGCAGCTCGCTACTTCCGGTTCCGGTAATCTACGTGGGAGCCGCCACGTAAAAAAAACCCACAAATGAAAAGAAAAACGACGCCAATTCTTTTGCTGACGACCACGGCCAACTTCTAAAGGACTACGATTTGAGGGCATATACCGTAGAGAGAGAAGCTGACATCGCCGGCATCGAAGTGGTGGACGGGGAAGGACAAGGAACGCGTAGGGCTACAGGTGTCACGAAAGGGAGCGCAAATTCGATGTTGGATTTGTAGTGGAAGAGACTTCGCCGCATCGAGGCGGAATTCTTTAGCATGTCGCTAATCTGCGTCCATTGCCTAACTGAAGAGAAGGAGTGAACGTATAATTTTTGACCTTTGGAATTCGTTACATCTGAGGAATTATGCTCAACATAAAACTAATAATAAAATTCTTCAGCTTTTTTCAAAGCAACATTCCCCTCTAAAGTTACTTGTCCGAACTCTGAGCCAGAAAGACTATGAGGTTGGTCACGCTTGCCTGGTTATCAGATTTTCTGGTTAAAAAATATTATTGTGTAGTGTATTTTATTGTTGTAATCTGAATAAATAATATAACCTATATGTATTAACGGCAAGGGCTCTCTACACATGAGTAAAGTTTGTTCTCTATAAATGCAGCTTTTAATAAACCCTTGTGATCAGCTGATTCAGTTAATGTTTAATGTTTATCATTTCTTTATAAAAGTCTAGTACATTACATAACCACATAAATCCACATTTCAAACTTCGTACAAAACTTATATAAATTCAACAAACTTTAAAAGTTACAACCAAAAATTTCAGACCTCTTATTCTGAATTTTTAGAAAAATTTTAGGTACGCAGTTTTTTGGGGCCCATTAAATTGTAGTAGGTTAAAGTGCAAATTTCAAGATGATGATGCTAATCGCGTTGATCTTTAATAACACAGGTCTGCAAAAAAATGGGTTCGGAATGTTCTATAAAAGTGTAGTGTCATTTCCGAAGTAATTTTTTGCGTAGAATCCGAATCCGGGGTTTAAATTGCTCTATCACGTCAGGACTTTGAGATATCCTAACCTAAAAGTGTAAAAAACGCTGTTTTTGCCCATTTTTTAGGTTATGTAGCTACGCAGATTTTGCTCTTCATAAAAAAGTAGACGTGGTATTTTAAAGTAAAAGTCTTCCTCTTTTAAATGCCGTTGAGTTTACTTAAATATCTTAATTTTTCACTGAGATATCGCATTTTGAAGTCTCCATGTTTGTGAATGTAATCGACCGTATCACGTCTCATGTTATCTCAATGGATTTTCGAATATCGAAAAATTCACAAACATGGAAACTTCAAAATGCGATATCTCAGTGAAAAATAAAGATATTTAAGTAAACTCAACGGCATTTAAAAGAGGAAGACTTTTACTTTAAAATACCACGTTTACTTTTTTATGAAGAGCAAAATCTGCGTAGCTACATAACCTCAAAAATGGGCAAAAACAGCGTTTTTGCACTTTTAGGTTAGGATATCTCAAAATCCTGACGTGATAGAGCAATTTAAACCCCGGATTCGGATTCTACGCAAAAAATTACTTCGAAAATGACCCTACACTTTCCTAGAACAAAACGTTGTTGACCAGTGTAATTTTTTGGTTGACGGTGTTGTGCATTTTCTTCCATACACAGTACGGAAAGAAACTAGTTTCAAGTTCTGATTTTCTTCCTAGGAATGAATTGTTTACTTTAACATGGCGATGTCCTAGGAAGCATTTGCATTTGATTTCAACTACTTTAAAATGCATTTGGCTTAAAGCACTTCAAAGTCAATCTGCTTCTTTTGCAGATGTCCTTCCAACCAAGTTAAAATTACATAATGCTGAAATAGTTAATTGCCCAAAGTTAGATGATTATTCAACTAATATTGAATTATTTGCAAAGATATATTTATAATGTTTAAACCAATTTCCAAGGTTAGCATTACTTATGCAGTGCTTTTGAAAAATACTAAGTATTATTATCTTTATTCTCGTAGTATGTGGCGAATAATTTATTTTGTTATAGAAAAACATTGTCTGAAGGGAGAATTTTTTTCTGCACTGCCATTAAAATAAAATAAAATCATAAAATTAAAATAAATAAATAAATAAAAAGTCACTTATAAATATGATTTAGGGATTCCGGTAGTAAACTTGTTATTGTTATGGATATTTTTATTTTTTTTTAATAAAACATTCGATTTGCGACTTGGAAATACATATTTTATTATTAAGGGTTTGTATTTATGTTTAACATAATATTATTCTTAACTATGTTTTACATACATACTTATGTACTTACAGGTATTTTTCCTATATGCATATATATAAATATGTATGTATGTATGCATGTACTTGATGTCTTTCGCATGCAACGAGCGTTCTTGACCAGTTATTTAATTGTTTGCATTTATTTATTTTTTTTTTATTTCACGAAAATAATTACTTAGACAATAAATAAGATATTTTGATAAAAAAAAGTTCAATAGAAAGGTAAATACTCTTACATAACTATAGTACCTAGTATCTATAGACTATTGCACGTGTAACCAGTTTTGGTTTACTCCGATTTTATGTCCATTTATATGTATTTCAAGTTCAAATAGACGCTGGATGGCCTCAATGACCCGATTGATTCTCTAGATAACTGTAATGTAATTGAAACTTTAAATTAACAATTACGACAATGCGCCGACAATGTCAATTGGGTTTTTTTTTTGTGTCATCGCTTTGTCATACACACTTTTTACAAGTTCGCATGCACTCGGCCATTCATCATTTGTATGCAATTTGTGTTATCTTTTGATTTGCATTTTTTGCACGAATGTAATAAAATCGCAATTAAATTTCTTATTGTACTAAATAGTTATATTTGATGTTATGTTGTTTTTATGTGTTTCATTTTCGAGGTCAAATAACTTAGTTAAGATTATTCGATATAAATACGTACATATGTATGTATGTATATTCACGTGTGTGTGTTTAATTAGTTTAGTTGTTTTATTTATATTTTTTTTATTTTTTTTTAAGGCAAAAAACAATAGGGAAAATGTTGCCTTTAAAATTAGACATTCGACTTCACGAAACGAAAACACGCGAAGAGCCCTAAAAAGTCCGCATATATTCCGAAAACTAAAGCACCGAGAATCCCAAAAAAATACAGAAAAAAGCGGAACGCACAAGTCCGAAAAAATCTAATGGATGTAGGTCAAATGTTTAAAAGGTAAAAGGTAAAAGAAATCATACTCAACTTCAAAACTTTTTCACAATGAGGGTGTTCACACTTGCCAGGTTATCCGGTTAAAAATTATTATAACCACATAACCAGGCAGGTGTGAACAACCTCAATGTATTTTTGATTTTAAAAAACTTTTGTTTACAATTTCTACCATTGAGGAATCGTTTAAGAAACGCTTTGTTGGGAGCTTTTGAAAGTTGAATCGCTATACTAATTTATGCGTCTCTCTTCGTCCTAAATAGTGTTGTTATACTACCTGAAATTGAAATTTCACTGGACCTTAAATAGTAGAATTCTCTCCCGGGACCTCTTGAGAGCTTGATACGCCCAGCTGGATACCTCGTTTGTACGCCGATGGCTACAAGTTGGAAAAATGGGTTTGAGCAGTGGTTTTCACTGACTCGCTGCGACTACCATCTGCCGAAAATATTCGCTATCGCGGCTGGCGCTCGGATTTTTTGGATAGTCTGATCTGAGACACTTCACAACTAAGTCAACTAAGAAACTTAGCCAGTTAGAAGAGCTTTAAATTTACAGTGCGTGGTTTTAATGTTAGGTACAAACATGCACAGATAATCTTCAATGTGAAAGGGCAAAAGAAAAAATCCCATCTTTTTAGCTTCGGTTTTGCACCAAAAAATTACCATTTTCGATTTCACTCCGTTGAGTTGGCCAATGCAAGGCCAAGCCGTCGTTTCTTCTTCAACCTACTGAAATTCATAAATTTTTCAACTTGGATATATACCATTTTTACAATATTTATATTACTTTTCGATAACTAAAATAATTAAATTATATTTATGGCCTATGGCTAATAATAATGTTGGACATTAATCTGCCCATACTTATGCATAATTTACACTTATTTACCAACTTTAATTAAATAACTTCTTCAATTTTCTTCGACACTCCATTTGGTTCTACTTCTACAATTACATATGTATATATTTATCTGCGTGTAAACTTTCGAATAGCAAGAAATCCTTAAAAACAAATTCAATTCTAGTTATATAATTTTTTTAGTTTCTTTGTATGTACATACATATAAAATGGATTTTTGTCTATATCACAGATAAATATGCATATGCAACATACAAAGTCCACGTAACATACAAGCATATATGTATATATAAAACTGTACTCATGTACTTATGTAATATACACCAGACCGTACCAGAAGTAAAAGCTCACCGTAGCCCAAAAGCTCGCCGTAGCCAAAAGCTGGCTGTAGCCCAGAGTCTAAAGTATTTTTGCAAGGCAACTTCGAAAGCTTCTTTTATCATTTCCGTTATATCTTCGGCATTTACAGTCGGATTTTAAAGTATGATATATCGATGTTCTTGTCTCGATGAGAAAAATTGTTTTATTCCAAAGTTCATTGGCCTCAAGTGCCCCGTTCTAGTACCTACCCACCAGATCTCACTTCTTACCCCCTTAAAGAGGCGGTAAATTCAAGCTTACCTAAACTCATTAAACTTTTGCTAAGAAAGTATTCCGATTATTCCTATTTAAAAAAAAAAAAGTTGTATAGCCAAATTTTTTTTCACCTAGTTTGGTCGAATTTTGTCTTATCCAAATTACCTTGAAAAAAATACTTTGGACTCTGGGATGTATGGTGAACTTTGTTTGTTAGGTTGTAAGGTGGTACGGTCTAATGTACATACATACATACCTACACGTGCATGTAAATATATAATTTTTTCTTCTTTTATTTTAACAAATTTTCTGGCTTGCAGGCGCATAGAATGTTCGTATTTACAAACGATACAAATAATTTATTCAGTTTAGCTACTTATGTACTTACATATTTACCTATGCACATTTAATCGATTTCATTCAGGACCGTAAGGGTTATGTTCTTTAAAAAATATATATATATAATTTAGGATTGAAACTTGGAATTTAATTTTTTCGGCAAAAATTCATTTGTTAGATTATTGGGGATTCAAAACGGTCATAAGAATAGATTATAAAGGATGGCCGGTTAAAAATATTAAATTTTCCTACATATTGAAAATGATCGAAAAAATAAGAATCCAAATAAAAGAGCATTAATGTTATTCACTTAAATTCACAAAATAACAATCAAATTTATTCTAAACAAAAATAATGACTCAATATGGGGGTTTTTTGGCCCCTGTTTTTAATTTTTGTCATGTTGATTTTTCCGGCAATATTCTTCCTCTAAACCGCGTGCCGATTTAGGCCCAGCTGGCTCATATTTAGTAATAAAAAATTTCGATTATTTAAATGTAACTTAATGACTAAGTTGACGAATTGACGTCGTTACATTTCGCTTAAAAAATCTACTAAACAGCTTACATCGTACATCCCTACACACTTAGACGTATATAATTATGGCTACTACATTGCACCCTTCACCCCCACACACAACTACATACTTCCCTCTCCCACCTCCTTTAGCGATGCTTCACCGACGGCGCAAACGCTTGCATGCTATAGTACCGATCGGTGTCGTCCTTCGTAACACTCGTCACGTGCTGGAATTGACATGGCTGCGAAATTTGCGATTTGGGCGGCAACGGAGCTGGCTTCACGCGCTTCTGTTTCTGCTTCTTCTTGCCCGGCAACGAGAGCGCTATATTCTCCGGATTACTCACCAGTTTCTCTATGTGATGGTGCAGCTCTCTTGCCGAATCGGTTGAATCGAAACTAAATCCGATTAGCTGTTGGTGGTTCTGTGACAGGCACATCGTGTGAAAGGATGGACCGGCGACCCGATAATTTGACAGATTATCGATGCGATCCGACCAGAGTGCAAAGGAGGAGCCCCGCTCGGCCAGCACAAGTGTGACGCGTGGTATGGAGCGTGCGCGAGCACTGCCGCGATCATGCAGCACGACTGGTATGCCGGTGAAGACGAGACGCCAATCGCCCTCCTTGCCGGTGCCTTCGTAGAGGTTGGCCAGAGAGGAGCATACGAAAATTTCAGTGCCCAGACCGCCGAAGAAACTCTCCACTTGAACGCGTTCATATTCGGAGAGATTTGAATTGCTCGTAGTATCGATGCTCAGAGTGTCGGCATCCACGTCGGAGCCAATAAAATACGAATTACTGTGATTGTTAACTGTATTGGTGGTCGATGTGGCGGTGCGCGTGTTTGTGTGTACCGACGAGGTGTGTGAATGCGCCGCCGACCAATCGGGATTAATCATCAGCTCATTCTGCTCGGAAGAGTTAGTGCCCTCCGAGGATTCGGATGGTGGCGCCGAATCGCCAACGGAGCCTAAGCGACGACGTTGCATGTGGGGGAGCTGGAAAGGAGCAAACAAGAAGAATATGAGCATTATTATATTAAAGCTAAATGGTAATTGAAAAAAAAAAAACAAATTGAGTATATTTAAATTAATCGAAGTTTTTGTAGAAATTTTAATACATTGAAATTGTATGTATTATCCTTATAGCTACATAAGACGTCTACAGCGAGGAAGGAAACCACTTGTCTGACAACAACTCTTCTCATGGAGCAAATCATGGCGCATATCACACTTCTTCTAGAAAGCAAATACAGAGCCCACTTGTCCGACGACCAGCGAAATCTGGTCTGCGTCTATTTTGGCAAATGATCAGAACAGCTAAAAGCGAGGGCGTGCTAGTAGTATGAGCCTGCCGGTCAATGACTTCTGCCGCAGTTACCATAGTGAGGATGAAATTGAAAGCATGGAGCTACATATATCTCTGACACCGCGCTGACCTAGTCTGGCTGGGCTAGAACAGAATTATTTCCCCATTACAAACTTATTGAACTATTGGCGGTCTTCAGTGCAGCAGCCCCCGTTTTTTACCGAATTCAAAAAAGGAGGAAGGTTATCAATTCATCGGAATATTTTTGCATATATTTTGCTACCGGATAACTTTAGACCACGTGAACCGTTTTCGACAATTCGTTTTTCATCGGAAAGGTGGTACCTTAGGGGTGGAACAGTAATTTGGTTTAGTTCCAATCATTGGATCATGACGAAATTAACGGTACTCCTAAATTTTTATATGGGCATTGAATTCGGTTGTATTTTCGGCCTAAAAATTACTTGTATTAATACGAGCACCTATGGTTCTATTTCTAAATAGGCTAAGTTGAGTTGTGAATCATATTAGGAGCCTTAATTGCACTTTCATAACTAACTCCAATGACCGTATCAGCCTTGTATGCCTTTTGATATTTATAGTCTGTAACTTGTAATTAGCAGGGGATCCCCCCTTACTACCCGTCTGCAGAGGATAAAATTTATATCTTGATACATATTTTAGAATATAAATAGCCAATGGAGACCACTCATTGCTCTTCAAGAGCATCTATTGCCGGCCATTTCAAAGTTTGACGAATCCATTTTCGCTATAAAAGCAACAATTTAGATTTTTTTATTAAAATATTTGTTATTATGTACTTGGATGTAAAATAGCCTATTTTCTAAATTTGTCAAAGGATTAAATCCGGCAAAAATACGCTTTAGAAGTCATCTTACAAATGCTTATATTAAGATATAAAAAGCACAAACAAATATTGCCACTGATACGACATATGTATTCTGTATTTATGAATTATTCTGAGATTTAAACAACTAAAGCAAGGCAAAATATGGGATTTTTTTATTTTTATTAATTTATTTATTTTTTTCATGTTGCATGGTGAGCGCGTTGAGCTGAAAATTGTGCAATCAATTTCCGCTCTAAAAAATTCAATAGTTATGAACCACTTACGTAGTAGTTACGTATGTATGTATATACAAATGTACATATTGCACATTGAACTTCTATGTTTGTATAACTTTTGATTGGAATCGAACGAAAAAAAATTAAAATCACCTACAAACAAATGCCTGTAAATAGACGCAGATGTGATGCAAACTCAACACCAAGTAATATGTAAATCAGCAGACAAATTAAAGTTAAGCCTTATGGATATAAAAAATAATATTTAATAAGCGATTCAATTGAAAAATTACGAAAAATATATATTTTTTTTTTATAAAATCCTAGACTCGTTCCCTACTGAAATTGCACGTCTTGCACGTCGAAAATTGCATACTTTTAAATTAATTGTGTAATCCATACTCTCAATTATGTGCTGCATTGCAAAGCTGAAAGTTCGCATTGTGAAATTTTTATTTTTCCATTTCTGCTCTAAATTGTCTGATATCGTTTGCAAGGCCTTCCTCCCTTTACCGAGAAATGAAACTTGGATGTGTAAATTTGTTTCCCTTTTGCTTAGCTTCGATGTCACTTGCATGAGTGCACCCAAAATATTTGCACAATTTCTTGTAAAATACAATTTCCGCACACATTTTGACAAGGAAACCTTAAAATTTAGAAAATGTGCTCGTTTACATATATTAATCTCAGGGAACATTTTAAGGGTTTGTTGTGGGATGAATATGAATTAAGGGGAAATTCACTTAATCTAAGCACTTACTTGGAGAAAGAAAAGAGTTTGTATGTACGTGGACATTACCATTTCCATTAAAAGAAACGAATTTAAAATTTTGCTCTAGCTGATTTTTTTTTGTAAATTTTACTCACATATCGCACAGGTTTTTCAAAAAGGTATCAACTCAAAATTTATCATTTTTGGCATTGAATTTCAGTATAACAATGTAGCTAAGAGCCGTCTAAGGAAATTCGCTTAAGCTAAAACTTTTTAGCATCTTTGAGAAAAATGCCAAAAATTAACGGTAAGTTCCAGCTACTTCATACTGGCACTTTTTAATACTAAAATTAAATGAACTACAAAACTGCATACCAAAAATAAATTCCAAATTTTTTATAAAGTTTGTTGATTTTTGTAAATATTGCACAAGGATTGAAAAGAAATAACCATATTTTTATAAAAAAAATTACAATACAATTTAAAAAATAATAAAATAAATAGTAAAACTTGTCAATATGTGGGTGTCGTATAGCTATGATAAACAGTTGGGGTATTCACAGCGGTGTCGTCAGGGTCGTATTGTTATACATATGTCGTAAACTTTGAAAGCTCAAATAAATGTTTAGTGAACTTTAAACCACAACCCACTATTTTTAACACTGTGAAAATTAATAATATGACTATATTTTCTGAAATATATATTTCATTGATAGAATGTATATATGTACGTTCATAAGCATTAGCCCCTTGGGCATACATATAAATGAGCTTTTGTTTAGAACACTAGATAATACATATCATTAAATTACTGGGAATCCGCATTGGGCTCTTCTGGAACACAAATCCTTCTTTGTTTTTTAACTTATTTCCAGATATATTTTTCCTTCTTGCAAAAGCACAGAATTTCAAACTTTATTTCATCACATTGACAAATGAATAAATATGCAGAAAATTTGCACACTGAAAATAAATAAAAGTACCTGGTATGTATGTACATATAACAAAAGTTGTTTGGATAATAAAATTTTAATTTTTTACAGCTACGGTGTTCGTATTTGTTTTCTATGCTCTACATAATTCTTATGCAATTTCAGTTGATTGCTCTATAAAAATATTTATTTACTGCTATTTTATATTTTGTATGGGGCACATTGGGCCAATACTTTCCAACCAAACTCACACCAATCAAAACTGGAAGCAAATTTCATCAATAAGATATAAAAGTTTCCTCACACTAGGAATAGATAAATGTGTGTGTGTGCAATAAAAAGCAACAGAAACCAATGCCGTTGACGTGACGATGTTAAATAATTCATAATCGTAGCAAATTACAGACATACATAGAAAGCAATGACAAATGATTTACTAAAGCAATTGAAGCCAAAAAACAAACATACATACACACATACATACATCCGTCTGTTTATGTGAGCACAATTAATGTAGACAAGGTACATATTTACATTTACTGGCGTAACTCGAAATTTTTTTATGGGGGTATACCGGTCGTAGTCAACATAAAAATATACCATAAATTAGAACTGGGGTCACATTGAAATTACCAAGAAATTACCCTGTTTGGGGCAACACTGTAACCTTACTAATATAGCCTCACCTAGGCTCATTAAATGAAATGATTTTAAAAGTGAAGAACTAATTACACTGTATAACAGAATTTTTGCAAAAAAATAACCATGCGATACTAATTTTTTTTTTTTGAAAACGAGAGGATATGCAGATAATTTTCGCCGACCAAAGTCATTGTCCAGCACTGTTCCGAGCTTTGAAGTTTGAGAAAAGGCACCTGCACTTCGACCCACCATAACCCATTCTTCCCCATCGTTTTAAAGATAATGATTTTTAAAATGTCCCTCAATTTACACAAGAAATTAATAAAAACAAACACTCTTCGAAAATTTCTCCCATGCAATTTATTTTCATATTACAAGCACAATTCGCGAAAGCTCCTACTTGCGTAGCGCGAGAACTAACAAGGTTTTGGTGTGCGCACACCAGCCTTCATTTTTTATAAGGCATATTTACTTAAACACGTGCTAACATGTTGATTTTTTAACAGCCTTATTATCCATCTCGATAGGTGGTTCGACGAATGGTTCAAAAATTAGTCCGGCAACAACATCGTAGCCGGTTGAAATGTAACTGAGATGAGTTCAACGTAAACGTCATAAAGCTAGACGAAGACGTCCCATCGAGTTACGAAATTGCAAGGAGAGAACACGGCGTTCGATAGTTTGAGAAAGATAATAAAGCTGCTTATGTAAATACCGTTCAAAACCAAAACGTACCAAAACTAAAGTTTCAAACTTTATAAAACGTATAGAAAAATGCAAAAAAAAATCAACGTTTTTAATCTGAATTTTTAAAAAATTGTTGGGTATGCCCATAAAATTTTTGCATAATAAAGTGCAAGATTGAGGTGGTTAAATATTTTTTTGCAGACGGCATGAATTTACTTTGGAATAAAATGCGCAATACCGTTCGCAAAAAAATACAAAAATCAACGCCAGTTTTATAATTTGCACTTGTTATATCAAAAAAAAAAAGGCCGGCGGCAAAAAAAATATTAAAAATCAACGCGAATGCTTCAAACATGTTTTTTGTTATGCAAAATTGTATGAGCTATAAAACTACAAACCCTAAAGTTTACTAAAAATTCAGATTAAAGAGTTCGAAAATTTGATGCAAATAAGTGGAAGGTTGGTTTCCAAAACTATATCATAGGCATTCTGTTTTAAAAAAAAATTGTATTTCTTGACTGTGTTACTGATTTGTTGCTAAACTTGAGTGGTTTTTTCAAACTCAAAATCTTCCCTACTTCCGTGAAGACGCAGCGAGTTTTTTCAGATTGTTTTTTTTTTTAAGTTTCAT